AGTGCTGGGATTAAAGGCGTGCGCCACCACCGCCCGGCTTATCTGATTCTTTAAAAAGCTAAACTTCAGAAAAAAAAATCAAGCCACCTTCTATTTTTAGACTGAACTATATGGAACTAGAGAAATTGACACTTTTGAACCCACAGTGTGTTCAGTTTATCTTTCGGCCTTCCTTCCCTACCCTCCAGACCCTCCAGTCTCTTCTCTTTCAGTTAGCTAAAACATAGGCAAAGAGGATAGACTTTCCAGAGAAGCAGACATGCAGACAAGGAGGGATTGGCAGGTGTGGACTTGCATAGCTCCAGGGCTGCAACGGGAGTCCAGGTGTCAGCAGAGGCTAGACCAACAGGCGTCCTTCCAAAAGTCTTCAAGATAACTGGGAAAAACTCTATCCTGCTCTTTGTTGGAACTTGTCTCTGGGGTCAGGACAGAGATGGCTGGGGTGCTGTCAGGAGCAGGGCAGACTTCAATGTGGGCTGTAGACCACTGGGGTCATAAGCATGGACCTGAGACAGTGGGGAGTGTGTGGGCGGGGCCAGTGAAAGTGACTGCATTGACAAGTGACAGGTGTGTCCCATAAGGAGTCAAAGGATAGGAACGTTGCTTTGTGTGCAGTGTCTTGCAATAGAAACAGAGGTGCAATGTGCCCTTTCCCTTCCCAAGGAAAGTCAGGTCGCCTGTTCTCAGTGCTCAGGGTAAATGCCTGGCACATAGTAGGCACATGGAAGAGTTGCCAAGGAACCAAATAGTGCTGGTTATTTTTTAACCTGTTTGGTATGGAAAGATCAAAGATGATTTATCTGGAGGGAAATGTAGCAGATCTCAGCAAAAGCAAAAACAATCAAACAAACAAAAAATCACCCCTTAGGGTTGCCTTGGACACTGACTGCTCTAGGGGAAAGGTGTATGTTCACTTAGAAGATAATGGTTCCCTTTATGATTTTAATGTTCATTGTATATTTGATGTAGGAAGGCACCATTTCCATCACCATGTGGCCTTCCTCCAACAATGCATCTTCCTATCCTGATAGTACATGAATTGAAAGACTTTCGCATTTAACATTCCTCCACGAACATAAGCTGAGAGCTGGGCTGCTCCAAATGAATTCCAGGTCAACAAGAAGCTCCTCTGCCTCGTACTCAGTCTGAGGATAACTACACATTTACAGTCAGAACAGACACGAGTGTTGGAACCAGGGTGCAAGGAACAAAGAACATTCGATTGCTTGTGCTGCCAAGATTATGGAAACCGTTTGCTCCTCCTCGGTCAAGTGTAGGTAAATAAAACCAATGAAGGACACTCTTGGAGCCTTCACACAATCCTGGCCACATGTTTCAAAAGGAGTGAATGTAACAGCGAACGGATGAGCCCAGAGCCCGGGGAGCTTGAAAACCAGTCTGGTGGCTCTGCTATTGCAAATGGTTTCCATTATGTTTCTTCCTGCAGCAGCACATCTCAATGCCATCTGTTGCCTGCTTTCAGGAGTGAGGTCAGCTCTGACTCACTTTATGCAATTATGTAAATGCAGCTTCTGTAACGCGCAGGCAAGTCCTGTTGCTGTCAGTCATCTGGAAAAGCCATCTACTGCCGAGGCCCCTGCCTCCACTAGTAACACCGTTCTTTCTGTAGTCTAATGTGTTTTAGAAGGAAAGACTTACAAGCATCTCTCTAAAATCATTTTTAATATTCCCCCTTTAAAGTTTTATGTATTTTAATAATAGTCTGGCACAATCTTTAAGTTTCTGTTGTTGATTTGTTTTAAGTTAAGTTCTGTGAGCATGGCTCATTGTCTATTTCTAGACAAAGCCAATATGACTTGACTTCTGTTTCTGTATACTGGCCATGGCAAAATGTAGACGTACAGTCTTCCTACAGGGCTTTCTACATTAATGTTCACTGGCCTTGCCCACACACTCCCTACTGTCTCAGGTCCATGCATGTGACTCTGATGGTCTGTACCCCATACCTTTAGTGAACAGGACACAATCCTGTCCACACTGTGACAGTGGTAGAGCCTTCTCTATCTCCAGACAAGGAGTGATGTCATGCTTGTTTCCCCATCTTTTTTCTTCTATGACCATGCCACTTACACAGCATTAGACACAAACTGATCCACAACACATGGCAGGAAGTGAGATCATGTTGTGCTGTCACCCTGTATAGGGTTGGGTCCTGGGCTGAGATGGGCAAGGGCTGGGAGGAGACAGAGATGAGAACAAACGTTCTCCCTAGAGTATTCTCCCTAGAGACTGCACTCTCAGGAGGAGCATCGTGCCAGTTCTCTTTCTACTGTGAGTGGATAGGATGTGTTTGGGAGAATTGAAGAGTTAGGATAAAAGGTATCAATATAGCAATAACTAACAGTGAAGTGGTAGGTGGTATGGGAGGGTTACAAGTAAATAGATAAGGACTATATATCCTGTGAACTTCAGCGAGGTTCATAGGCAAATACCAAAGATAAATGCGGAGTCAGGAGAACACCAGGGCATCACAGAAGACTCAGTTGCGCAGTTCACACACTTCCCAGTGCCTGCTGCATTCTAGGCTCTTTGGTAAACACTGGAACACACCAGCAAACAATGGGCAGGGACCCCCAAAGGTCACTTATAGAGGAAGGGGCCCAGAATAACACAAGTCAGTGGAGAAACAAACACACTTATGAATAAATGTAAACGGACAAATATCAGCACATGTAGCAGCAATTAAAACAACACCATGTGAGATAAAAGCAGCGAGTTCTGCAGTTAAGGTGATCTTGGAGACCAGACAATGAGACTGGATAGCTCCTGCAGACACCCTCTCTGGGGAAGTTCCATGTGAAAAAGACCTGCGTTATCTTAAGGGATGGCATCTCAGGGTAAGAAGGAAGCAGTATAAAGTCCTGAGGCGGGGCAGGCTTGGAGAAGTACCTGGGAAACGTGAGAAGGATGGGTGAGAGTAGGGTATAGGAGGATGAATAGAATGACTTTTGGAGTTTTGCATGAAATAATGATGCGGAAGGGGATTTGGTTTATTGGGAATGATCTTTTACATGGGCTGAGTTTGAAATGCCTGCTGGACTTTAGCAGGTGATGCCAAGAAGACAATTAGATGTATAAACCAGGAGCTTAGGGGGAGGGGCACTGGAGTCACACATCTTGGGACTTCACAGGACATAAGCCAGTAGATAGAGGACTTCCCTATTTAGAAGTCAGAAGCAACAGGAGGAGCTGGCAAAGGAGACCTGGAAGCAGGTACTAGTACTGAGAGTGTAGAACCCAGGCATGGGAGCAGGAGCCATGTTTAAAGAACAAAAGAATTAAGGCCAGCGTGGTAGTGCACATCTGCAACCCCAGGACCTGGGAGGTAGAGGCAGGAGGATCAGGGATTCCAGGCCCTCCTTGGCTACATAACTACTTCACAGCCACCTTGAGATACATGAAATGTTGTCTCTTCCCTCTACCCACCAAAGAACGAGGGACTTATGAACCCTGCCAAATGCTGTGGGCATAAAAGGCAAGATGATCACAGAGATTGAGTGGGAATTTACCTAATATGTATGTATGTATGTATGTATGTATGTATGTATGTATGTATGTATCTATCTTCTACCTATCTACCTATAATCTATCAGTCTATCTGTCATCCATCCATCCATTATCTATGTGTTTATCCATCTATCTATCCATCTATCCATTATCTATCTATCTATCTATCTATCTATCTATCTATCATCATCCATCTATTATCTGTCTATCTATTATCTACCCATCTATTCATTTATCTATCTATCTATCATCTACCCATCTATTCCTCTATCTATCTATCTATCTATCTATCTATCTATCTATCTATCTGTGATCTATTTTATATGCATGTAACATAAACATACACTTGCAAACATCTGTGATATTTTCAGAGTACCTAGTCACGCACCTCTGCCTCTTTAAAATAATTTTGTAGCCTTTAAAAGATTATGTTGATTTGTAGGTCAACAATATACTAGCTGTTGCAAAGTAATTCAGGTAATTATATAGTCTTAGGCCCCCTTAAAGTTCCTACTTGTTGAAATGTCAAAGATGTTTGGGGAAACCACCTATTTTAATCAAAAATTTATTACGATACCTAGCTTACTATGCTTTCACTTTTTATTAGCCTCTCTGCCAAGATTCATAGACTATATTGACTTTTTTTCCTACTGGAAGCCAAGGATAACTATCCAGAAGGAGAATCATCATAGAATTTTAGAGCTCACATAGTTAAAAGGGCCTGAGTGTCTGAAAAAAAGAAACACAATCTGGTATAATAAAAAATAATCACTTGGTTTCAAGCTTAGAAAGACATGGATACCAATCCCAGCTCCACTACTTGCCACTTGACCTCACATGAGTCTGTGGAATCTGCTTTCTAATCTACAGAATGGAATAGATTGCACTGAAGGTCTTCTGTGGAGGAATAAGTGAGGTAAAATGAATGAAGTAGAGTCAAACCTGACATGGCCAAGGAGTTCACATAGCACACTCTCTCTCTGTCTCTGTCTCTCTGTCTCTCTCTCTCCATCACTGTCTCTGTCTCTGTCTGTCTCTCTATCTCTGTCTCTGTCTGTCTGTCTGCCTGTCCGTGTCTCTCTCTCTCTCTCTCTCTCTCTCTCTCTCTCTCTCTCTCTCTCTCTCTCTCTCTCTCTGTACCTGAAATCACGTGGATTGAGCATCCCAGCCAGACTCAGGGTCAGGACTCCTGACTTGATTTCCTATCTTGTTCTTTTCCATATTTCTTCAGGGAACCGCATACATAGTTTGTTTTGGCATTTTCTGTTTATGCCAGAACTGTGTTCTTGCAAGACCCTTGCTAGGATTAGGCCAAGACACATCTCCTATCTGTGCATTGCTGCGTAACAGCCTGCCCTACTTTTCATCCCAGCATCTGGTAGGATTACAGAGCCACATCATCGCATCTGGCCCCTCCTGCTCTTGTGGTGCTTATGGGGCGGGGAGGGGCAGGGCAGAGGAGAGGTTTGGCACTGCCATACCTTTTCTATTTTCTAGCCCCCACCCCTGATTCCTGGGGTGGTCTCTGATGGAGTGGAGGCAGCATGGGCATGGGGGAGGCGTGCCTGCTGTGGGTCCAGCCGGTCCCCCATGTGCTCTGACCCCCTTTGAGGTAAGTGGGGCCACATTTCTTTGCTGGCAGCTGCAGAGCCCAAGCGTCAGCAAAGGGCTTTGAAGTTTCCCGAGGAGGAGGAAAGGACATTCTATAGAGAGCAGGGCTCGTGATTGCTTCCTGACTTCGGTGCGTTAGCAATGGTCTGCTGAATTTTGGAGAGCAGCAGCGGCCTTCACATTTAATTGTTTCGATTTCTCTTTACTATAAAAAAGAGAACTCCTCTTAGTTAAATATGATTGGCAGAACAAGCCGAAAACAATACAAACAAACCCTAGAGCTGCTCAAATATCCGTTTTGTAAATCAGACAGTAAATAAAGGCATCCAAAAGAGAAATCCCCAAACCTGGTATCATTAACTCTGTTATAACATGCCGTAGAAGTTTAAGACTATTAAATTTACTGAAATACATTTTCAGTGTGCGCTTAGAATTTATTTTCATCTCTCTGTTCTATTTTAGAATAAGCCTTAGGGCAGAAATTACTTCTTTTAAGTTTGCCTGAAATCCAGCCCTCCAACTTTTACCCTATTGAAGCGTCCCTCTAGGATTCCTCTCCTTCCTCCCGTTCTTTTCCTCCCCAACACTGCTTTCTCTGTGTGTCTGTGTGAGGACTAGCTCTCTTCTCCCAGGTGTACAGACAATATAGTCACAACCACAAGCAGGTATAAGTGCATGTGCATGCTTGCATGCATGCATGTGTGCATATCTGTGTACACAAGCATGCTTACGTGTGAGAATGTCTGTGGATGCCAGAGGTCAATGTCAAGGGTCTTTCTCAGTTTCTGTCCATTTTGTTTTCTTGAGATTGGGTCTTTCACTAACCCTGGAGCTCACCAATTCAGCTACACTGACTGGCCACTGAGCCTCTGGGATCCCGTATCTCTGCCTCTCCAGTGCTGAGATCATAAGTGAGTACCGCTGTATCCACCTTATTGATGTGGACTTTGGGGATTGAACTCAGGTCCTCAGGCTGTGTGGTAAGGACTTTACAAACTGAGCCATCCTCCTAGACTCCTAGGCTGTGTAAATGTTATAGTTTGTCTTTAATCAACCCAAAGGAGATTGATTGGCCACAGCTGATATTGCTGGAATGCTTGGCAGAATACCATATTAACGTAGCAAGATTGTCAGGCTGATTGTCTACATTGCATTGTGTGAGTTAGGGCATTACGTAGAGGAGAAGTTACTTAATGAATGTTTGAAGAAGGTGTGGCATAACAGGAGACACATCCTTGTTGACATAAGGGGCAGAAGGAAACATTATAAAGGAGGGGAAGCAGGAGTACATTGAACAGCTGTAGGCTTTGCATGGTACAGGGGAGGAGAAACGCTGTTCCGCTCAGAGTTACCCCAGAGGGCATTGGGAGGGTCAATAACCTAGCAGTGTGATTGGCAGGAACAAACAGATCTATTACATTAGGGTAGAAGTGAGGAATAAGGACTTGGAAGGTGAGTCTGGAACAGTGATCTAGGAGAAGCAGGGTAGAGGGATGCAGATGTGGGAAAAAGTGGGCCAGTACGGCGGTTTAGTGAGGAAGGATGCTTGTCATCAAGAATGAGAACCTGAGCCGGGCGGTGGTGGCGCACGCCTTTAATCCCAGCACTCGGGAGGCAGAGCCAGGCGGATCTCTGTGAGTTCGAGGCCAGCCTGGGCTACCAAGTGAGTCCCAGGAAAGGTGCAAAGCTACACAGAGAAACCCTGTCTTGAAAAACAAAAAAAAACAAAAAAAAACAAAAAAAAAAAAAAAGAATGAGAACCTGAGTTCAGTTGCGGTACCCTGCATGTAGAGGGCAAAAATTGACTCCCCTCAGCCCTGCACGCTCACTGTGGCTCCTGTGCACCCAATCACACATGCACATGCACACACACAGGCACGTGACCAAGCAGCCAAATAAATATAAACATGTATTTTAAAAGTGAAATGTGGTTGATAGTGACTGTGTAAAACTCCTCAGAGCCCACAGCTTTGGAATGACCACTGTAACTATCAAAAGGTTCCTGGAGATGCATAAAGCTTGGGACTGGGTAAATATTTGGGTGTCTTCCTTAAACAAGCCTTATGATATTTTTATATGTGAGTTAATTATAATAAAGTGATTTAAAAAAAAAAGAGAGAAAGCCTTGGCAAAGGAGACCCAAGTAAAACATCCCCAAATAAAGGTATCAGAATTAAGGACTCAAGGACTCATAAAGACTAGACGCAGAGATTAGAGGTCTGGGCAGAGCTGGAATTAAAAGGCTTACATTAAAGGTAGGGTTGCAGAGAGGGCTAAGGGAAGGGTTCTTCCTTCCTGACTTCAAACACGGCCTCCTCCTCTTTCTGCCTCGGGCTGCAGTGGGTCAGACCTCTGGAGGACAGTTTAGTCTGGTGATTAAACACATGGATTCTGTTAGTTCCCTGCCTGCCATATGGGCTCTGTGACCTGGGACAGATCAACCTGGCTGGACTTCAACTTTTGCATTAGTCAGCTAGGGGAAAGTAAAAGTACCTCCCTCAGAGTTACTAAGAACACTAGAATTAGTCCAGGCAGGGCAGGCTGGAGCTCTGCCTGGGGTCTGGTGGGTGCTATCCCAGGGTGGTCTTTGTTCAAACATGTTTTGGAAACTGGAGATTGAGGATCTAGCTGGCACTGGAAAGAAAGGACAAGCAGGAATTTTTTAAAAATTGGGAGTCAAGCTCCTTCTGGAGTCTGCCTAAGTGATCCCCCAGTGCTGAAAACTGGGCCAGCACTGAACCTCTTCCTGCTTCCTTCTGCTGGCACACATGGCACACAGGGGCCGTCTCTTCTGCTGGGTCCTGGGGAACCGTCAAAGAAAGCGTGTACCTTGCAGTTCAGCTGATGCCATGAGGCAGAACAAGGAGCTTTCTTGTAGGGCTAGGTTCAATGGAGGCGTCACCAGCCTCCTGCATATGGAGTTCCCCATGGAGACAGGAAGTAGAATTCCCTAGCAAAGAGGAAGTGATTGTTGAAGTATGTAGTGCCTTTCTATATATTTTCTCACTTAGTCCCTATCACTACCTCAAGAGAAAGAAGTCTTTATTTATTTATTTTTACATTCTGACCACAGTTTCCCCTCCCTCCTCTCCTTCCAGGACCTTCCTCCCCACCTCCCTTCTGCCTCCTCTCCTCATCCACTTCTCCCTCCATTTCTACTCAGAGAAGGGAAGGTCTCTCATGGATATCAACAAAACATGGCACATCAGGTTGCCATAAGACTAAGCCCCTCCCCTCGTGTTAAGACTGGACAAGACAACCCAGTATGAAGACTAGGGTCCCAAAAGCCAGCAAAAGAGTCAGAGACAGCCCCTATTCTCACTGTTAGGAGTTCCACAAGAAGACCAAGCTATACAGCTGTCACATACATGCAGAGGGCCTAGGCCAGTGTCATGGAGTCCTTACTCTCACTTTGCAGGAGAAGAAGCAAGTTGTCAGCCTGTCATTAGGCCGTAGGGACAATTAGCACGTGACTCTCAGCATATCCTGTGATGAGACTGTTATGGTTTGAATGTGAAATATCCACCAGTTTCATGTGATTGGACACTTGGTCTCCAGCTGGCGGCGCTGTTTTGGGGGTCATGTAGGGTCAAGATGGAGGAAGTAAGTTGTTAGGGGAAGCAGGTCTGTTCTGGAAAGCTGTCTGCTTCCTGATTGGTGCCATGTAAGGAGCCCAGCCTTGCTGTGGCAGAAGAACTGGTTCTGTTGCCATGCCGTCTTTGCTACAATGGACTCACCGCTCTCAAACTGTGAGCCAAAATAAATCACCCTTCCTGTAAGTTGCTTTTGTTGGGCATTTTATCACAGCTTCCAGAAAAGTAACTAATACAGAAATGATTAAAAACAACGCTTCACTTTTCTCCCTCCAAGAAAATCCAGGAGTTTCTCTCTCGAAATAACAGAGGACCAAATGAATATTCTATTTGTATTTCTACCTGTTTGATAAAGATCTGAATCTCTGCTAATCCTGACCACAGATGAGAAATGTCCGTGGGATAATGACGAACCATTCTGAACAACTTAGAGTGGGTCCTAAGGGCGTAGATGTCACAGCTGCAGTTCTTGCCTATGCTGATTTTCAATTGCTATGATGAACTATCTAAGAGAGTCAGTTTACACAGCATAGAATTTATTTAGATTCAATGTTTTAGAGATTTTGGTATATAGTTCATTATTTCTTTTAGACAGCCTGTAGTGACATATATCATGGGGGAGCATGCAGATAAGAGAAAACACTGTGTACTTTCTGGTCATCAGGAAGTCACGAGAAAAAAGTGGGGAGGTGGATGGTGTCAGAGTCCCAATAGTCCCCTTCAAGGGCACTTCCCCAGTGGCCCCACTTCCTTCCATTCGGCCCTGCCTTCTGAAGGTTCCACCACTTCCCAGTAGCACTTCAGGCCAAGTCTTCAGCATATGGGTCTTGCTTGGGAAGTCACTGAAGACTCAGACGACAGCACTAGTCATGAAGAGGGGGAGGAACCAGGTAGACAAGACTGGTCCAGCCATCTGAATTAGACACCCCTGTGTCAAATCTCCACCCTCACTTGGAGGTTTCAAACCGAACTGATCTTCAGAAGACAACAGCTTAGACCATAGTGTGCTCAGTTACAAATGGTGCCATGGCAACTCCTGTCTGTCACATTTGCACCCGAGGACGGCGAAAGCTGCTGGTTACAGTTTGCAGCTGTTTCTGGGGCCTGATCCCTGTCCCCATCTACTGTCTGCAGAGAGCAAGGAAGGTCAGCCCGGGTAGAAAGTGATCCAGGAAGGAAGGAGGGAGGGGATGATTGGGAAGGAGGCATAGGCACTGCTCAGGGTTATTCATTACTGATATCCTTTAAACCTGGGATGAACCAGGAAACCATTGTGGAAGGCATAGAATATTACTTCATGAGACCAAAAGATGGCTAGCTACACCTTGTTTAAGATCAAAGGTAAAATATTCTTTAAAATGTCTGTTCTTAAGTGTCTCCCAACCAGGGTGTTTTTGTCAAGGTGTTTTCTTTTTTTTTTAAATTTTTATTCCAATTATATTTATTTGTGTAGGAAACACATGTTGATAGAGAAATAATAGTGTTCAGGGAAATGGGTCAGTGGATAAAACATACTTGCTGCACAGACATAAAGACCCAAGTTCTGACCATAGTACCCACATAAAAAGTTCTTACCATCTTTATTGCTTGGTTATCTTGTGAGAGACTTTGTATTTCTTTGTCTTTTAAAAAATTTTTATGAGGACTCTCCACTTTAAAGAGTTTTTACTTAGCAAAATATCTTACATGGTCATTTTTTAAGAACTGTATATGTGTCCCAGTTCTCTAGAATCAATACTACTGTTTAAGAAAATGGCTTACACAATTATTGAAGCTGAGAAGTGCTCCAGTCTGTAAATTGCAAGCTGAAGAACTAAGGATCTGAAAGGAGGTGGGCCTGTGACCTGGGAGGAGCTGGCATTTCAGTCTGAGGCCAGAGAAGACCCAATGTCTCTGATTATGCATTTAGGTAGGAGAGCTCCCATGAGTAGATGAGACCCACCTACACACAAATATTAATCTCACCCAGACACATTCCATGGATAGAAGCAGAATAATGTTTGGCCAAATATCAGAACACCCCATGGTCTAGTCCAGCTGACATATACAATTAATTACCAGTCCCTCCCTTCTTTTTGAGACTGGGTTTAACCATGTATTATTGGCTAGCTTCTATCTTGTGACACTCCTGTTTCTGCCTCCCGAGTATTGAGATTACAGATACACGTCTGTAATCCACCATGTCTGGCTCCTTTTTTTTTTAAAAAAAAATTAAATCTTGAAATACTTTATTTTTTAGAGCAATTAGCTCTACTGTCAACATCCAGCCTCAAAGTAGTATAGTTTTTTTCTGTCAGTGGGCCTATGTGGACACATAATTGTCACTCAAATCTCATAGTTATAATCGGGCTCAGGTTCAGTCTTGGAGTACACCTGTTGGGGTTTGAAAAACATAAGATAGCATGTATTTATCATTGAAGTCTCATAGAGAATATTTTCTCTAGACGTCCTTCATGTTCAATCCATATCTCTCCATCCCCTCAACCCCTGACAACAGCTCATCATTTTATTGTCTCCATAGTTTTGCATTTTTTAGAAGGTCTTATAGCTGGAATTATGCAACATGTAGCCTTTTCAGACTGGCTTCTCTTCCTTGGTAATGTGCATATTAATTTTTTCTGTGTTCTCATGACCCGATAGTTCATTTCTTTTTACCACTGAATAATTTTTCATTGTCTGGATGTTCCTTGGTTTATTTACCTATTTACTTACCAATGGGGATCTTGGTAGCTTTCAAGTTTTGGAAATTATGAACGATTTATTCATGATTATTCAGTTGGGTAAACATCTTTGGGCAAGATTTTGTGTGGACTGGTTTTCAACACATTTGGACAAAGGCCAGAAGAGTGCACTTTCCTGGACCGTAAGGGAAAAGGATGTTAGTTTTGTAAAAACTGACCAAGTGTCTTTCCAAGTGTTGTGCATTCCCCATAGAAATAAGTTTCTATGATTCATATCCCTATCAACATTTGATGTCATACATTGGAATTTGGTCATTTTAATGGGTTTATTATGGATCTCATTGTCTTAGCTTTCAGGTTCCTAATGATAAGCAAGTAAGAGTATCTTTTCGTCTGTTTATTTCTGCATATCTTCTTTTTTTATTAAGGAATTTTTCATTCATTTTACATATCAACCACAGACCCTCCTCTTTTCCTTCTTCCTGCCCCTTCAGCCTTCCCCCCCAGTGCCCCATTCCCTCCTCCAACAAGGTAAGGCCTTCTGTGGCGAGTCAGCAGAGCCTGGTCCATTCAGTAGAGGTGGGTTCAAGCCCTTTTCTGCATATCTTCTTTAGTACAGTGTCCCTTGGGGTCTTGCTCAGTTTTTTTTTTTTTAAGATTTATTTATTTATTATGTATACAGTGTTCTGTCTGCATGTATGCCTGCGGTTCAGAAGAGGGCGCCAGATCTCATTGTAGATGGTTGTGAGCCACTATGTGGTTGCTGGGAATTGAACTCAGGACCTCTGGAAGAGCAGCCAGTGCTCTTAACCGCTGAGCCATCTCTCCAGTCCCCTTGCTCAGTTTTTAATCAGACTTTTTTCTTCTTGTTGCTATTTAAGAATTCTTTGTGTAATATTTCTTTATCTGATGTGTCTTTCAAAGACACTTTCTCCTACTTTTTGATCTTCTCATATACTTGATATGTCTTTTATGGAGCATAAATTTTTAATTTTAATGAGGTCCAGCTTGATATCTCTTCTGTGGGTTGAGCCTCTGGATCTGTCTCTAAAAAATAGTCATCATATCCAAGTTCAATGAGATGCTTTAGTATGCTATTTCCTAGAAATTTTACACCCTACATTTTGCTCTGTAATAATATAATAACAATGATATCCATTTTGGAGATTGCTCAGCAGGAGGTACATGTGTCCAGGCCTGAGTGACCTAAGTTCTACCCCTAGACCCCATAGGTAGCAGGAGAGAACTGACTGATGAGTGCTGGTCTCTGATTGTCACTCCTGTGCTGTGGCACAGGCCTGCATGCACACACGTATACACCCAAAACAAATAAAGCGAAATTGCTCCCCATTTTGAGTTAATTTCGAGATGAGTTTATGTAAGGCCCTTTGTCTAGATCCAGACTTTGGCATGCCTGTCCAGTGTTCCAGCAGCATTGTTGAAGTAACTGTCATTTCTCTGCCTCATTGTGTTTGCTCCGTTGTCAAAGATGAGCTGATTATATTTATGTAAGTCTATTTCTGGTCTCCCTATTCTGTTGCATTGATTTATTTGTCTAATCTTTTGCCAGAACCACAGTGTCTTGATTACAGGAATTTATAATAAGGTTTGAGGTCAGGGAGTGTCAGTCCCGGAAATTGATTCTTCTTCAATATTCTATGACTATTCTGGGTTTGAAGTCTATTTAAAAAATATTGCATTGTTCTATATTACCCTACTTATGGTATTTATCTTGGATCTAACTATAATAATTATGCTCCAATGAATAATGTTATAGTCATTGTTTTGTGAGCCTCTGCAAGTATATCTATAGGATGTTACTAATTATTTTTAAATTGCAGTAATTAGATATGATCCCAGGTTATGTTTCCCACACCTTAATGACATGGGACATCTGGAAGTTTTTATTTGTTTGCCAATCTAATCTGTGGAAAATGATGATTAGGTCTAGTTGCTTCAGTTTGTATTTCTTTTCTTCTGAGTGAGGCCAGCCATCTTTTTATGTTTTAGAACCACAGTGTTCCCTATTCTTTGACATGCTGGTGTCTACTCACTTTTCAGTTGGGTTATCAACCTCGTAAATAAGTAAGTGGTAGGATTTCCTCTATGCTATGAGATTAGTTAGATCCTTGTCTGCATTATGAAAACCATCTCTGTCTCTGCTGCCTATCTATGTTTTGGCCTCAGAATATGTTTTCCCTTACGGAGTAAGTTTTAAGCAATCAAGTGTGTGTGTGTGTGTGTGTGTGTGTGTGTGTGTGTGTGTGTGTGTGTGTGTATAGAAGTGTCCTAAAACTGGAATTTGTATTATGATTAGTGCTGGGCTTGGGGAGTGTAGAGGACATGATGATACTTGTAAACCACTTTTTAAAAGAAGACTGTTCAGTAATTAAAAATTACCTTTTTGGGCCATTGCTACAAGAATCTTTTAAAAAAGACCTTTGCTACTTGTGTTTTGTTCTAAGACCTAGGATACTGGCCCTAAAGGATTGAATAGATTCATGGTGCTGTCACGGCTTCTCTTCAGTTCCCTATTAACCATAAATATTGTCTTTGTTGAGTTTGAAGACTGCACATGGTAAAAAGGTTAGGGCTTAACAGTAGACTTAAAACAGTTGAAGGTGATAGACTTTAATCAAGCAACTTGGGTTTCGTAAGGTGAGAAATAACTTACCAACTTATTTTCTTTCATTAAATTTTCCTGTTTCTCCAAGGGGTTTCGGAATTGAACTTGTTACCTTTGCTTTTGTCTCTTCTGAACTTAGTTTGCAAATGTCACTCATCACTTGTCTGTCTGGGAAACACTACCCTGGGGGAGGGAGTAGCGAACATTTGGGAATGACAGCTCCCACAATCTGCAAAACAAGGGCCCTGGAAGATGTCCCCCAGGGTCAGGATCACCTCGGCATGCTGCGTTTCTCTAGACTGGCTGGCACTGTACTTAAGGTCTAGATATGGAGAATAATGTAACGTGGAGGGTGGCGATCCTTGATTTCTCAGGGAGAGAACTCAGGCTGGAGGAACTAACGTTCTACCAGAGAACTTGGAGGAACATCAGAGCGTGGGAGGCTCTTGGTTCTGAGGGTCATTACCATGAACTCATATCTCACAGCATCTATGTTCAATTCAGTGTCTGGGGTCTTGTGGTTGCTTCTTACTAGTTAACCAAATGTTAGTCAGCATTCCTAGTTCACAAAACCTTTTCCCTGTCATATCTCTGGAATCCATCCATTCTTGAGCAGATTCCTTCCATTCTGAGAATAGACAAATGGTCTTGTCCATTTATCCTGTGGTCTAGTTTCCTGGGCACAAATCTTACAGAAGGGGTAGGCTTGGGAAAGGAAAGCCATGCCTGGAGAGTCAAGCAGTCAATACATTTTTCGTTTAGGACCACGGTAACAGATAAAGAGATCTCTCTTAGCTGCTCTCAGTCCATACAAGTGAGAAGTCACAGCCAAGTGGTAAGGGGGGCGTAATTGATGGGAAATTATTAGGAGGAAATACCAGGAGTGGGGAGGGTGTTCTGGTGAAATCAGTTTATGGTTTTGATCAGTGACATGCCAGGGTGAGCAGATTCTGATGGTGGAGGACAAGGGGATGATGGGAAATGAACTGTGTAGAACCCAGCCCCAACCCCATCTGACTAAGCAGGATTCTTGTAAAAACTGGACTCCTAAGGATATGCTGAAAGGTGGAACCTAGTCATAAAAGGAGTCTTAGAGGGGAGTGTACCTTGTCAAGTTCTGGACCATTTCTTGTCTCAAGATAGTTTTGATGACTTTTCCATTTCCCATCTTCATCAACGCATCCTATGCAGGCTTTGTAGAGGGTCTGACCACAGAGGTAATCTATGGGAAGACTGATTGATAGAGCTCTCACGAGATAAGACAATTCAAAACAACCCTTTCTCCTACCTTCTTGTCTCTGGATGACCTTGTGTGGATGTTCTGAAAGTAAAGTTCAGGAGAAAGCCATGGAGAACAAGACTCCTAAGTCTAGACAGCCACAAAGGTTCAAGGCATCAGGCAGATGTAGTAGGAAGACTAACAGTGAAGGCTAAGCTTTATTTTACCCTTCTTTGGGTGAGGGGGAGAAGGGAGGCTTGGAAGTATGTTTAAACAAAGAGATCAGCTATTTCCTTATTCTGGAGAAGTAAAGATGTGGTATTTTTCTTTCTGTCACTTCCAGAGAATTCTTCAAGGGTCCCACGAGAAGCCGCAGGTAAGGGGAGCAGCACCAGTTTGTCTGGCCGAAGGGGCGATTTTCCTTCCTCCACGCAGCGCTATCCAGGGAGCCCTTGTACTAAGCCTCCAGGAGCAGACCTGTCGCTCCAGCTCCCTGAGAACCAGACAACCCCTCCTCCCAGACCTGCCTTTGTAAAAGAAAATTAAAAAGCCCCAGGCCGGCACTCCAAACCCACCCGGCTTGGGGAAACCCACAGAACCCCTTTCTGTTCTCTCCCTGCAACTCTCCAGAGGCCATACATCATCTAGGTAACCACCTTCAAAATGGGCTTTTGTCATTTTCCGTGCTGGGATGGGAGCCAGCCAATGCCGCAAAACCTCTGAGCTCCGGAGGAGCTGAACCAGCTGGTGGAGTTCCCGGAGCGTTTGAAAGTGCTATCCTGTTTCACAGAAACCCAAGACAATGGTTTGATGTTTTTAAAATGTAAGCTCTACCGTTTCTGGTTTTAATTTAATGGAAAGGGGATTTCCCTGTGAGGGATTTCGTTAGGAAGGGAGGAAGATGAGCTCCCCCTTTTCCCCCACAAGCCCATACTGCTTCCAGTTCCTCAAATGCTCACAGTACTCTGGCTTGCTTGTCCTTTGTTCAGGGTCTCAGCACCAGCAGTAAGGGAGGAAGGCTGCCTGGTTCAGGAAGAGAGGAACGCTGGAGAGTTTTGAGAGACATAGGCTTTCTATCACAGCCACAAGAAAGCAGCATCCAACTTCGCACCCAGATCTTATTTGAACATTTAATTAACTCATATTTTGTGCTTTTGAGACAGAGTCTTGCTTTGTGGTCCAGGCTAGTCTTAAACTCATGAGCTGAGCCTCCTACCTGAGCACTGCTCCGTGTTGGGATGCAGGCCTGTTCTACCACGTCCATCTCATTATTTATATGTCCCAATGGGTAAATGCGTGGAGAGAAGAACATTGTCGTTTGTTCTAGGAACTAATCTGTAAAGTTCTACTCAGTATATCTGGGTATAGTGAACAAACTTGTTGTCTTAGCACTCAGGAGGCTGGTGTAAGAGAACTTCAGATTTGATACCAGGCTGGACTATACAGGGAAGAAAGAAAAGAACCATTAACTAACTAGACCCTTTATCCACCCTGACATGTCTTCTCAGAAAGCATTGGTGTAGTCTGCATTTCCTATTTTCCTTAACCCATGAAAAGTCTAATAAGATTGAAAAATAAATATGATTTTCTTCCCATTATGTCTTAATATTGAATTATAACAGTAACTCGGACTTACTTGGTGGCTCCTGTGGGTCATTTATCATCTCTGTTCCTCCTTTTTCCTAGCAAACTCAGTAGGTTCTCTATAACATGTTAGTGGGCTATCTGCACCACAATCCACAGAAAACTGTACATGCAGATGTCATCCAGAGGTTTTCTGTAAGAGGTCTCCATGCGAATATCAAGGTGAAAAAGCAAAAAATCAATTAGAAAAATTGAAAACAAAAACAAGTCAGGCATGGTGGTTTATGTTGTAGTCTCAGCTATTCATGGAAGTTGTTCAAAAGTTCAAGATCAGCTTTGGGCAAAAGTAAATGACTGATGAGTGGTGGGCCTAGGTAGCAGATTCTCTGGCTTCAGATTTGCTTTGGGTCTCCAGGGTTTTTCACTTTGCCGAAGCTATTCACAGACTTTCAGATAACCTGGCCACTGGGTTTCATTTAAGTGTGTTCTCCAAGGAATGCTCTAAATAGGGGATGGTATTATTTAGCCAACCTACTCAGATTAGTTAACTAAGCCATTCTGTGTGATGGCAGCGTGTGGTGTACTCAGAAGCACACCACTTCAAAGCTGGATGATTTCAACCATGTTCAGCGACCCTTGATAAACTCTGGATATCAGACTCCAACTTTGAAATTTGAAAACCTTATGCTGGGAAGTTTTTTTTTCCAATAATGTTTTTATTTATTCTATAAAATTTTGTACATTTATATATTTTGATTAGATCCATCCATCATTACCTTCCTCCAACTCTCTCTAGTGCCCCCATCTCTCTTGCAACTTAATGGCTTCCTTTCTCTTTTTGTTATTAATAAGCACTTGAGTTCAATTATTGCTGCCTATGTATGTGTGTAAGACTGGGGGGACATTCATTGGACCATAAGCAACCCACCAACATCCGTGTCCCTAAAGAAGAGTAACTCCTCTCTCAGTAACCATTTGGCTGCCAATACCTCCTCTGCCAAGGGTGAGACCCCTACCACACATGCTAAGCAAGAGCTCTACCACAGATCTAGATCCCTAGCCTATAAATTACCTTTTTTTATTTTGAACAACAAATAGAGATTATAAATGACACTTAGGCTTATGTTACATGTGCCTTTATATGAACTTTATATGAAGCAAGTTAAAATCCTGATTAGTAGGTATGATTTAAAGTCAATGGCTTTGAAAGTGCATTCTCTCAACTTTTGCTGAGCCCAGGATTCCACAGATGTGCCTTGGGGTAGCTGCTCGATGGCTTGGGGGAGCTCTAAGAAGGTAGATGTCTGGGTTCTTCTGTTACAGAAGGTTAGACCCTCTTTTGTCTGTTTATACTTAGCCTTGCTCTCAGTTTGAAAAAAAATCACTGATTTTAAAATATGTTTCCTTGTCATCCACGAACCTTGTCTACCTAGAATACTGATGTTGGAGTAAAAGCCCTCTTTGTCCTGGTCCTGCCACTGGTCTTAATTCTCCTCTTGTGACATTGTTTCTGCATCACACATCTTCCAGAGTACAAGAACTCCCCTAGCAACTGGCGGATGTTCTCTGTGGACACAATCCTCCTATATACCGTCTCTAATAGAGAGAGACGAGCACTGGACCATGACTTCATTTAAATTCTTAGTTATGTCTTTCTTGTTTACCTCTGGCATCACCTGCTATATACATGATATATATGAACACCATGTATGTTTAACTACATCTTCTTTCTGATTACAGATGTACGAAGAACAATGAGGAAATCAGCGTCTCATCCTGAGGACTAAGAGGATGGAAGCTCTGTGTTCCCGGCGTTGTTTCCCCTCTGAGAAGCTTCCTGTGTAGCCGGGCTAACAGGGCCTCCTTGCCCTTGGACTTTCAGCCGGCGCTCTCAGTGGACTCCGCTCCTGGCTCTGGCTTGCAGTCTGCGTTTCATGACACGCTGTCAGTCCCTTCCATGTTCTGGTGCCAGCCGAGGAAATGACCGTTTCTTTTCTCGTCAGCACCCATTCCTCATATTCCGACCCCGCGTGCCCTGTCTTCGGACTTGCCTCTCATCTTTCACTTGACAAATGACTTCTCTCTCACTCCCCAAGTCTCCTTTAAGGGCTTCGTTTTCTCATTTAGAAGTAGTACTGATGGAACTTTCTAATTTAATTTTTCGTTTTCATATCATTTACCTCATCTCTCAGACATTCTGGGGGTTCATTAAAACAAATCAACAAACAAAATACTGACTTCGATAAATAAGTAACAAAATACCTTACTGAGAATAGACACTAGAGCCTCAACGAGCTGTGCTCAGATTCTATGATGTTCCTTCAAATGCTGCTGCTGCTCGCTGCTAATGGAAAACCAAGATCTGAGTACGACGTTTTGATTAATCTTGTATAATACATTGTACCCACTCATGGCCTTTCAGATAATTCATCCTGAGTTCATTCTGGGAGCAGATCAGAATGAAGAATGGAGTCGTCGCTTTAGGTATTTTCCAGCCTAGGAATATGCATTCATGAAACGTTTTTCAGCTTTTTTTTTTCTGCCTCCATGTCGCTGAGGAGTCTCCATCCCATCCCCACAGTCCCCGTGTTTTCCACAGCACTTTCCACACTTTACATTTGGGTCTTCTCTCCTCTCCACTGGATGTGAGTTCTATAGGGCAGGACTACTTGTTCACTTCTGTGTCCTGCCCTTTGCCTCATTCCCTCCAACGGTGGCTGGTAGGCAGTGAGTGGGGGGGGGGGGGCGGGGAACAGTCAACAAATGCAACCACAGAGCACCAGCATATGAGCAGGCAAGGTAGTCTTGTTACTACTGTAAAACAGATGCAAGAGTCAGCTTGCCTCAGCATCGGGTGACTTGGCCAAGGTCTCCAGATTCAGAATGCCTGAGTCTGCTGAAAGCAACTAAGCTTTACAGCTGATGAAAAGATGCAGTGGTATACGTAAGTTCATGGAAATCCCATGGAATTAATTTTATGACTTTGTCTGTAAACCCAGATGTTTGCTGAGAAAACATCTTTTAAGACTCCAGTATATGCAAATTGCTTTTAGATCCTTTAGCCAAATGACAGCCATGAGGCCCCGGAGCACATGCTCAGTGCATTAGGACAGTGTCTGCCTGCCGGCCCGGACCTCACGAGCCTGTCAGCACTTCCTCTGCTCCGCTCATCCTGGAGCTCCCCAGTGGTGTCTGTTCCTGGGAACTTGGCAGATAGTCTCCCTGTGGGAGCCAACTTGATTTGATTTCACTCCCCTGACTGAAGCTCCACGGCCTGTTCAGCCTGTTTAATGTGGTCTCCATTATCTATCCGCTTATCACTATGGTCTTTCTGTACTTGGGTGTGGACTATTGCTATCTCCCCCCCCCCCAACTGTTGCTATTAGTGACCATAGTTGGCTTTTTTGTTTTGAGCTAGAATCATTTTTTATCACAATGGGGGGTGTTAATTAGATCTCTATGCTAACTGCTCAGGGCTCACTCATCTATTTGCCCTGAAGAAGATTCTTGGTAACCCCTATTATATTTGGTCACATTTTGGTTGATTTGGACACACTCCAGTTTCAGCCCTACAGTTCTAGTTTAAAGTTAATATTTTGAAAATTAGGAGTATCAGGGCAGAGACAAAATTGGCAGATAAGCTTCTGTACTACGAATAACATAATCTCTTTCTTTAGAAAGTGTGCATGCCTGCCTATTCTGTGTCAGCAAAGTGGAGCCTGAGATCATCTTACTGTACATGGCAGTATTTGCGATTACTTTCTGGAGATCGGAAAGCCTGGTAGAGTTCTAAAGTAAATGAAACTTAATGTTATAAGGATGGAGCCACAAGGATACTCACAATTGTGCAAATTTCCAAGAGATGGGGCAGTGGAGAATTTTAATCTAGAAAATGGTTGCGAAAATAATGATACCTACTAAAATTGCAGTAGATTAAAAATGATCTGTATTTTGATGTCTAATTTCTTGAATTCCTTATATATTCTGGATATCAGTACTCTGTCAGATGTGGGATTGGTGAAGATCTTTTCCCATTCTGTAGGCTGTCGCTTTGCCTTGTTGACCGTATCCTTTGCTCTACAAAAGCTTCTCAGTTTCAAGAGGTCCCATTGATTGATTGTTTCTCTCAGAGTCTGTGCTACTGGTGTTCTGTTTAGGAAGTAGTCTCCTATGCCAATGCGTTCAAGACTACTTCCTACTTTCTCTTCTAGCAGGTTCAGAGTAGCTGGATTTATGTTGAGGTCCTTGATCCACTTGGACTTAAGTTTTGTGCACGGTGATAGATATGGATCTATTTGCAGCCTTCTACATGTTGATATCCAGTTTTGCCAGTACCATTTGTTGAAGATGCTTTCTGGTAATGGGATGGCCAAACACCCTAATTGTTGTGCTAGAAACCTCATCCAACTACTGAGGGATCTGGATGCAGAGATCCATGACTAGGCCCCGGGTGGATCTCTGGGAGTCCAATTAGCAAGAATGAGGAGGGTTTATATGAGCGAGAATTGTTGAGACCAAGGTTGGATAAAGCACAGGGACAAATAGCCAAATGAATGGAAACACATGAACTATGAACCAATGGCTGAGGGGTCCCCACTGGATCACGCTTGGAATGTCTCTGAAAGCAGTATGGGTATTTTGTTTCTTACAATTTTTCCAAGTTCTAAGAGAGAAAATGAGGAAATAAAACTGGGGATGAATGGGCATCTTCTTTAGAGATGAAAGGTTGTGTCTTGCAGTTTTCCTATTAAAACTGGGCACAGTGTTATTATTCGTAAAGAGTGGATTCATCTTGCTGGCTCTCATTTATTCAGAATTTGGGGTGAGGCTCTGACCACAACAGTGTCCAATGAACAAAATGAGCCATTTAGCAGTTTCTGATTCAAGACCACACCCTCACTTCTCCTATTCATTACATTTTTTTTTTTTTTTTTGAGAAAAGAATGTGTCACTAAAGCTGCTACCATTTAGCTACTTGGAGAAACTTCTGTCATCTTTATGCTTTTCTTCCCCATCTCTCAAAACATAAATGAAGTTATATTCCAATAAGAATGTCAGTAAACTGACATTTATGAATTGCTTTAATCATGTGTATATTGGCAGTGAGATGGTTAAATCTTGCCTGTCATCTTGGTTGGTTAAGAGACACCTGGGAGATTTGTAATATACAGATCTCTGGCTATCTACAACGACATTTCTAGAAGTGATTAGTTCATGGGAGCTCTGACCAAATCAGTGATCTAATCCATTAATAGATTCAAAATCTGAGTCAACTGCTGGAATGCGGTAGTTCTGTGGAAAGTGGGGACTGGTCGGAGGAAGTTGTCAAGCTGTGACACTGGGAAGTTCTTTTGGTTCTGGCCCCTTCCGGTTGCTCCTTCTGTTTCCTGCTGCTGTGTGTTGAGTGGTGTTTCCACGCTGCCCTGCTCCTCTGTGGTGTTCTGCAGTGGGCTAAAACCTGTGAAGCTGTGAGACAGACTCAGTTCTTCTTCCATTAAGGTCTTGTGTAAGGTATTTTGTCAAAGCAATGCAAGGATGAATAATAGTTCAAGAGGTAGGATAACTACAGTTTTCTTTGAATTGACTGGTGTTACATGGATTCCATAAGCTTCCCAATATCATAACTACTTTTCTTGATAATTCTTAATGCTCATGCTGTTTTTTGACAATGAATTGCCATTAATTCCTTAAAAATTATTTTTTCCTCCTGGATATGGAGTTATAGGTCTGTAATCTAGGCACTAGGGAAATTGTGGCAGGAGGATCATGAGTTCAAGGCCAACTTTACAATGAAGTCTTGTCTTAACTTTAATAACAACAACAATAACAACATTCTTTTTTATTTTTGCAGGAAACCATGAAATGGCTTCAATATGTTTGCTTAATTATTGGGCAGATTCTATAACAGAGAAGGCATAAATCAGCTAGCAAGAATGTACTGCTCCTACCACCAGAAGACTGGTTTATGCCTTTTCTGTTTGTATATGCTTAGCTTGATGTCTTCACTCTTACACAGGTCAGTACACCAGCCTAGGGGATGGTGCTGCCCACAATGGTCTGTGTTGTTCCATATCAATTAAGGCAATCAAAACAACAGATTGGACAGGCTAGCTTGATGTAGACAATCTTTCATTGAGCTTCTCTTCCTAGGTGATTCTAGGCTGCATAAAGTTGACAATTAAGACTAAGCATGACAAAGTGCTAGAGAGGCCCACAGAAATCCACAAAGATACCCCCACAACAGACTGCTGGCAATGGTCGAGAGACAGCCTGAACTGACCTACTCTGGTGATGGGATGGTCAAACACCCTAATTGTCGTGCTAGAAACCCTATCCAAAGACTGAGGGATCTGGATGCAGAGATCCATGGCTAGGCCCCGGATGGAGCTCTGGGAGTCCAATTAGCGAGAACGAGGAGGGTTTATATGAGCTAGAATTGTTGAGACCAAGGTTGGATAAAGCACAGGGACAAATAGCCAAATGAATGGAAACACATGAACTATGAACCAATGGCTGAGGGGTCCCCAACTGGATCAGGCCCTCTGAAGGGGTGAGACAGTTGATTGGCTTGATCTGTTTGGGAGGCATCCAGGCAGTGGGACCGGGTCCTGTGCTCATTTCATGAGTTGGCTGTTTGAAACCTGGGGCTTATTCAGGGTCGCTTGGCTGGGCCTGGGAGGAGGGGACTGGACCTGCCTGGACTGAGTCTACCAGGTTGATCTCAATCCTCGGGGGAGGCTTTGCCCTGGAGGAGGTGGGAATGGGGGGTGGGCTGGGGGGAAGGTGAGGGGGGTGGGAGGAGGGAGAACAAGGGAATTCGTAGCTGATATGTAGAACTGAATTGTATTGCAAAAAAAAAAAAAAAAAAAAGACTAAGCATGACAGTTGTTGGTCCCTACCTTGTTCATAGCTCCCAGGAGGATAGATGGCAGGAAGTATAATAGGAGCCATGTCTTTTATACAAAAGCCAGAATTATTGAGGTGCAATTTACAGAAAGCAAAATGTACCTCTTATAAATACATAACAATGAGTTTTGGCTAATATCTATGCCACTTCAGTCAAAACACTGATTATTACCGTTATTCCTGGAAGTTCCCTGAAGTCTTTTTCAGAAAGCAGCATTTCTTTTTTGGCATAGATCCCTACAGGCATGCTTTCTGTTCCTATTGTTTGGATTGTGTCAGAATTTCAGAGAAGTGGAATCACAGCAGGTACTTTTAGGCTGGAACCTGGGTGATCCCAATTGCAAATGTGAGCATGCCCCATACTCAATTCCATGCCACTTCAAGTAATAATGCACCATGAATACTCTTTTGTGTCTGGTTTCTCCTGCTCAGTATGTTCTTTAAGGCTCATTTATCTTGTGCAGATCTGTAATTCAATCCCTTTTGTTGCTCTATGGAATTCCATGTTATAAATTTCTTATTTGTATTTCCCTCTATCGATGGTCATAAGGGTTGTTTGGGCTTTTGTGACTAGAACTGCTACAAACAGTGAATATAAGTAAGTGTTTTTGTTGAATATGTTTTCATTTGGGTAAACAGAAGCAATATGGCTGGATCATGTGGTTCTGTGTTACCCAGGAAACATGTTGCAAAATTAATCCCCAGTGCAGCGGAGTTGATCTACTGGAGGTGTTTAGATGCTATTATGGATAGATTAATGCCCCCACAGATAGGGTTTGCTTCTTGGATGCCATG